AATACGATGGGAAAGCATCGTGGGAAGCGTATAGAGCACAATTTGAGTTACCGGCAGAGATGAACGGATGGACAGAGGAGCAGAAAGCAGTATATCTGGCAACAAGCTTGAAGAGACAACCACTGGAAATACTTGGACAGTTGTCAGCAGATGATAGGTACAACTATAGAGCACTCTCGAGACTTCAGGACGGGATGTGAATTTCGAGAAGTGCATGACGTGTTACTAGTGTCACGTGACTTCCACTGTCGTAACAATCATTAACATATAAAAAACATGTTTAAAAAATTAATCAGCATTTACCGTCATATGACAGGTAGTCATTTAATGGTAATAATAAACGTCGTTATTATGATCATAAACTCAAACTAAAATAACAAATCAACTAACATTTGTTAGTTACTATTTTAATTATTTATTACTCGTGGTTTTGTAATTCTTCAAAAGTAAAATATATATATTTAATCTAAAATTATTGACAATGTAAACAAAATAAGGGAGCCATTATGGCTTTCTTTGGCGTTATCTAAGCCTTCTTGAGGTTTCTAGCGCGTGAGGTGTAGTTACCCAAGTTATAATCACCTTTAGGTCTTAGTTAGTACCCAGAAAATTGGCGTAGAGTAATATTAGTCAAATCAATCAGTTTAGGCTACACATTTTACTGTCTCATTTCCTGGGACAGATGCATAATAGGTAAGACACTTTTATTACATTTACAGTTATTTTAGTTAATATTTTCGTTATTTCATCAACTTAGTAATAATTAATGAGGAAATTAAGACTTTATCAAAAAGAAAGTAGAATGACTAATTATATGTACGTAACTTTTTCTTTGGTTCGGGTATTTTGGGGAAAATTGGCTGACCACTAGGAGTATTTACAGAGTAACGTCTGGCAACCCTGACACATGAAAGATTGTTTTCAAATGTTAGTTGAAGATGTATGGTAAGCGAGAGCTGCATGTTAGATGATGTAGTATTTAATTAATAATATATATAGGGATTCAAGTGTCTCGGACCTTTTGTTTTGTAGGGAAAACGTAGCCTACTGAAGTGTGTAAGTTTATATTTGTTAGGAATGTGTTTTGTTGAATTTATTTTAGGATCTCAGGAAATAAGTGAAGAAAATTGTCTTTGCAATCAATGGGCCATGGCACAATGGGGCACGTGTAGGATGATAAATTTAACTTTAATAGTAACAGCCCCACTACTACTACTACTACTAGTAGTAGTAGAGTAATTGTAACACAGTATAATTCATTTTTTAATTTATTTTAGTGGCCGTTTTGTAGGCTTGGTTTTATAGTTGTTTTTATTTTTATGACTTAATCTTTATAACCAACAATGGTATTATTAATATTTATTATGTCATTATAATTTATATTTGTAACCAGATCTCAGGCTAGGCTTGTTTTGTAATTAAATTAGAAAAGTTTGCTGGTGAGAACTCGTGAATATTAATAGCTCTCTTGAAATACTACAGAATGAATTATATCAAATGCAGGTAATGTATCTATGAGTGTAATATAATTTGAATCAGGTATCCCTACTTAATAGGGTGATAAAGAAAAAGATTGTGATGTAGTGGCATATAAAGTCACTCAAGCCACTAAGGCAATGATTTGTTGTTAATGTTAGTATTAAAGTTTATAGATTCTGACAGTGTAACAATTTTTAGTGTTATTTTTCCAGGGTAGGGTGGTGGAAAACCAAACCATAGAACATACTATAACCTTTGTTTTTGTTGAATCAATGAAACCATGCATTTAATTAAAACATAATACTGTGAATCCAACATCAACAGGTGTCTTAAGTAAAAAATGTGCTTGAACCACAATCATTTCTACAATGTTTACAGCTGGCTTAACATAAAACCATGAAACAAACCAACTGAAAACTAAAACATACTATTCAATACTACATGTTTTTTCAACTTACGTACTAGTAAAAAACGTTTTTTTCTTCTAACATTAGTGGCTTATACCATTTCTCAGAATAAACTACTAGTACATATCTTGTAGTGGTTCTGCAAGACTGACAAAAAAAATTAATTAATCTAAAAATAATCATTTTCCTCTTATAATTTATATAGCTTTGCTTGATGTATTGACAAATATGCAATACACATAAAATATAAATGGTGCAAATCAACACTTTACTAACATATCCAGTAAGTGCACAACACTCCTATTTCTTGTGCCCTTTGTATAGCTAACAGACTGTTATGATATATTTGTAGAAATCTATTGCAAGGGAAAAGAAGTAATTATATTTTAATAGAAGTCAGTACCTATGACTTTGATTGGGGTACTGTGTACAGTTTTGGTCTTAAGAAAGGATATTGACTTAATGGAAAGGGATCAAAGGAGGGCTACTAGGATCATTTAAAGGATACAAGTTTTAATAGGTAATGATTTCATTGTATAGGTCATTGGTTAGGCCACATTTGGAGTATTGTGTTCAATCTTGGGTGCCTTACCTTAGGAAGGACATTGAATTGTTGGAAAGGGTTCAGAGGAGGACTAAAAGGATGATGTCTAAAATGATAAGGTTGTCATATAAGGGCAAGTTAAGATCCCAGAAAATTTTTCTTAAAAAAAAATGAGTTAGAAGGGATTTGATTAAGATATTTAAGATTGTTAATGGCATCTATTGTGTTGATGCATCATGTTTTTTATACTTAGTTGTGAGAATGGTAGGACTAGGAGACATGTATAAATTTTGGCAGGGTAGGAATCATCTTCAGCTAAGATAGTTTTATTTTTCAAACAGGGTTGTTGACCTTTGGAATAGGCTACTTTTAGATGTGGTGGATGCAGTTAATTTAAAGAAAGGCTTGTTCAATACTTGAATGATAAGGGCTGGCTTTTAGTGCTTTATTTTTATCTTAAAGTTTAGTTTAATGGAGTGGACAGCCTATATGTTCCTTGTTTTCAGATTATATGTATATAGAAGTTTACAAGATTATTCAGTTGAGTGATATGATAAAGACCTCTGAGATACTTGTGCTTTATTATGAAAACAATACTAGGACAAGAGGACATAAGTCTAAGATTTGGAAAAGACTGGCTAGTCTTCAGTTACAACATTTTATTTTTTTTACATGGTGGTTGGCTTACAGAGAGAGGTGCCATTGGCAATAGTGAAGGCCAGGACTTTACAAAAGTTTGATAGGGAAACCAATAATTTTCTAGAAATTAAGGGGTGGGTTTAAGTTTACATATTTTTTTAGGGTGTTCTAAGTTTGCATAGTAGTGAGGGAGCTTTGGGAAATTCGGACAAGAAAGAGATTGGAACTAGGAGATTTAGAGCATAACTTAAGGAATATTTTTAAAAATATGTTTATTAAGACTGAAAAATTAACATGGTAGGTTAAGAAATATACTAAGTTGATATTCTTCTAATGTGTTGTATATTGGTAATGCAATGGTTGAGCAAGATTCTTGTTAAAATGGAAGACTATAAAATAATTGTAATTACTAGTATTTGATTAGATTTGGAGAACTTGATAATAAGAATTATTTTGAAATTCTAGGTTATAATAGTGATAAGACTTTAAAAAAAGTGGCTTCTTATATAAGGAATGAGCTGCAGTATGTTGGGATTAAAGACTTAAGAAATTTCAATCAATAAGTTGAATCTGTATAGGCTACAAACAGGGGTTTCAAGGATAGAAAATTATCTATTAGTTGTTATAGGCCAGAGAGGTTAGGTCAGTGAGAAAATACATTATGAGATCGGGGTTGTTAGTGATAACAATAATGATGCAATAAGTGTGAGAGAATTTACTTTTAGGGACCTTAACTGTAATTGTACAGAGTTGAATAATAAGTGAGGTTTGAAGTGATTGAAGGTGGTTCTTTAAATTAAAAGGGAAGAAAGCCAACCAGGAAGGGATGACATTTTGCCAACCACTGAGGAAGATATGGTTTCAAGAACTGAAGTGGGGAACATTTAGTAAAGAGCATTGCATACTTAGGTTTGTTGTTTTGCTGCATAGGAGATATATGTTTTTAGAAAGCCAATTTTGAGGCTGTGAAGCAAGATAATGATTTAAAAGGTGGAGTGGGACAGATTTTACTTAATGATAGGTATGATCCTAAAAAGAAGAAAAGGATAACTTGAAAGATCAAACCTAATTGGCCAAGAAAGATATAAATGAGAAAATTGGAGAAAAATGGCATGAATTTAAGAAGTTTAAATTAATATTGTTGCGTCATTGAGTCACATGACTACTGTGACGCAACATTTCTAGAACTATCATGTACTTTGGTGAATGTTCTAGTTCTTACTAGATATAGGGTAGGCTGGTATATAAAAGAGGGGAATGTAATGTCTGGGTAGATAGTGAGTAATTGAACTGCAGTTAGAGAGCACGAGAGACGTTACAGCGTTTGTTTAGCGCGATTGTTGAAGTTGAGTGTATTGGTAAAGTTATATTCGGAAATAATAAACCAGTTTTGTTAAGAAAGAACTTGTGTCGCTTAAGTTTGGTTGGAACGAAGTTATGGAAAGTTAATTAACAAACGGAGACGTAACAATATTATAGGATGGAAGATATACAGAACTATATGAAAGCTGCAGAAATAATAAGAAAAAATTAAGAAATCAAAAAGGGTTTATGGGTGATAATGTTAAAACAGTTAGAATGTTTCCGAAGTATGTTAAACTATTCACTGCATTGTTAAGTAGGATGTGTGGAATGATATTTTTTGTATAAGTGCATTGTGTCATAGAACCTATGGCATATACTAACATTTGCTCTCTGTATTCCCAACAAAGATGTTTTTGTATTGGGTACACTTATAATGCATTTAAGGGGAATCTATAAGTTTTTTCATGATTATATGTTGTATAGATTACATGATTTTCTCAAGTGACCTACCACTTATCTTCAGCAGGATGAAGTGCTTTCACAGAAGATTTGGGATAAACCCTGGAGGTTTTTCTATATTTATTGTTTCTTTCTGAAGCTGTATATTGCTTTCTAGCCATAGTAAACTTAAAAAACAAAAGAGGATCAACTATCCTTTTGCTTGTACAAGAGGTTTCCTTCATTATCATCTCAGAAAAATGAAATCAAGGTTTATCCCAATTTTGTTTTAAATAGTGGATGTCCATAATGTGCATTCTGTGTTTATGTATATCAAGATGAATGAATTATTTTGAGATCAATAGAGTTAAAAATGTAGCTCAAGTGATTTTAGTGTTACTAACAGACGAATGAATATGACATCACAAATTAGAGAATTTTGTTATGCTATAAAAAAAAACTCTTTTAGTGGTTTTGAAATTATCTGGCAAAAACCTTAATATTATAACAAAATCATCAGAAAATAGTAAACCAAAGGAGTCAACACCACTTCCATAGTAAAGGAGTTAAAGATAAGCAAATATTAACATGGGAATTGAGTCCTTATTAAAAGGATGTTGAGGGGAAGATTTATTTTTCTGTTGAACATTGAGATACTTGACTTTTAAAATGTTTTTTTTTGATTTCACAAAAGAATAAAGTAGAAATATTTATGATTAAAAATTTTATGGGAAGTATTAGAATTGATCTGAATCTTGCATGTTTATCCTATGATGATAAGTAGAAAAAAATGAGAGATTAAAAATCAAAAATAGACAAAGCATCAAAACCAGAAAATGTTTCTCCCAGGGTTTAAAAGAAGTTCAAAGAACAGATATACAAACATCTCTTTCTCTCATTTTTGGTAGATACCTGAAGACTGTAGAGTTGCTAATATTATTATTAAAGAGGATTGTAACAAGCCCATACAAACCTGATACAAATAGTATTTATTTAAAACATCAGAAACATGCAGCCTTAAATTGCCAACTTGAGGAAATTTATGGAGAATCAAAGAGACAGAATCAGAATTTAAATTTTAAAAAAGAAAATGTATTTAATTCCTCAAAATAATTCGTGAAATGTTCACCTTTTTCCAATCAAGAGAAAGGAACAATAATTACAAGATATTATTGTATAGTAGTTTTTAAAAGAATCAATAGTTACATAAGATAGTAGTTCAAAATTTAACTTAACACTTTGTGTTAGGACTGTTGCTTAAATTAACACCACTGTTCTACTTGATTTCTTTATTCATCCAATTACTTTAAAATTCTAGTTCCTTTATCTTATTAGTCATACTTAAAAGTTTATGTATGTGAGATTTACTTCCAGAACTGGATCTTGATTCATAATAGTAAATATTGGGCTATTGTGGGCTAAATGATGGCTAATTCCCTGATGCTAACCATATATAGTAATTAGCTACTAACTGATGAATTTCCCACATAATTTGTTATAGATTCCATACAACACTGTGTTCAGTGGGACAGGTAATATCTTTGATCATTGATTGTTTGATCCTGTGTTTAGTTATTCATCCATTTATCCTAATTTTTATTAAAATTTAATATAGATGAGACCTTAATAGCATGACTAGAGAGAAGGATCTTGGCATGGTGGTGGATAAGTCACTCAAACATTTGAAGAGTGTTCTGTTGCTGATACTGGTAGTAAAGTTGACAGAATATTTTAGGGAGTACTTATAGACATTGATTACAAATCAATTGTAAGTGTCTCCCTATAAAATCACTAGTTTGGCCTCATGAAATACTGTGTACAGATGTGTTTTCCTTATCTAAGAAAGAAAGAAAATTAACTTATTAGACAGGGTTCAGAAGAGGGCTGCTGGGATGAAAGGGTTATTCTTAATGGATAGACTTATAGAATTTTATTTACTTTTGAGAAAAGAAGAGTAAGATTTAATCTTATTGAAATTTGCAAGATGATAAAATGGATTGATAGGATATAAGGTATCTTATTTGCTGTATTCTGAAGATAACAGCTTGAGGGGACACAAATTCAAAATGTGGGAAAGACAAGCTAGGTTACAGTTGAGAAAGTTTTATTTTTCTAACTGGGTGATTGGATCTGGAAAGAGTTGCCATTGGCATCATTGAAAGCTGGCAACTTACAAGATTTAAGAGAGGAATTTATGATTTCTTGAAAAAATAAATGGTAGGTGTCATTTTCACTTTTCTTTAAGGATGGATGTACAGGGGCAGTTTTGAAGGATTGGATGGTGCATTGCTATCCATGTTTTATATTGATATAATTATTATAGTTATGGTTAGTGCAACAGTTAGTAAAGCATGTATGTTTTGTAATGCTAAATAAATTAATATGGTAATGCTATTGAAAGAATATTCCTTTATTGGGATTTTAACTTTTTTAGTGGTGCTATAAAATAAACATAAGACCAGTTACACGTTCATTGAGAATCAGTTGCAGTACAAACTAATGAAAGCAATTTCCAAAATTGTGTGTGCATGTACAGTAAATAAGTGTGACATCATGTGCAGTGTGACTAGGCTGTAACTGTTTTCTTCCTTTGTATCATAGATTGTTTAATCTGTAATACATGCAGTTCATTGTTGTGTTTATAAAACTTGTACAGTTAATGGGTGATATTGTATTTTATGAACACTCATTAAATTGCTTTTATTTTCTTGTATATTTCAGGGTAGAAGAAAAAAATGTGTTGAAGCATGATTAAAGATTTCTATGCTCATCTTAGATGTCACGTATATCATCATTCACATCGAAAAAACTTCATTTTATTTTTGTGATTTCTGTTGTCATTAGCATTTGTTGGATAATATTTCAGCTTGGTAAGTATAATTTAATTGTTGTTGTATATACATTTACATTAGAAATTGTGAATTACTAATGTTTGAAGAAGCATTTTCACTGCAGTGTTCATCTATGTGATATTTAAGTCAAGCTTTTAAATATTAAGATATCTGATTTAAAAATAATTCAAAAATGATTTTTTAAGTTAAAATATTCCTTGTATACGAAGTTAGATTATGACCAATAAAATTATAAGCAAGAAGTCATATTTGTTGAGTACTGACTGAGACTAATTGTCACACTTTTTTTAAAGTGTAATGTCACTATTTGAAATATTAACTTATTAATTTTATGCAAGAATATGTAATACAAGAGAGTACATAAAAGACAGACCTGTAAAACTAGTGTGCAAAATACATTGTGAGAAATTTGTGCAAGATGTGTTGATTAGATTGAAATATTTATGAATGGGTGAAATTATCAGTAGTAACTGAAACAAATTCTTAAATTTGTAAAATGTCATGAAGTAAAGAGAGGCATGTATAATGCTTTTTGGATGTTGATAAGTAACTATGAATATATCTTCAAGGTAGTAGGCCTGTATTTCCTTTGATACCAATAAACATGACCTGCATTCTTGGACATCCTCAAAAAATTTGAGAATCAAGTAATTTTACAAATGAACTTAGTCTTTTGGTTAATAGTTGTATATTTCTCAATCAAAAGTAAATTTAACTTTGCCAGATAGTTTGTGTACTAATAACTTACATAATTAAAATATAAAATTTCAGTCATTTAAATTTCTGAAATTACTGCAAATATCAAGTTAAATTATGTGAGATACATTGTGTTAGAAATCTGATTTTTAATTATACAATTAACAAAATTTAAAAAAAATGTTTGCATGTTGTTAAGTAAAACAGTTAATTCTTTAGAAAGTTATATTTACTTTGTATGCTTGTCAATAAAACAGTGAAATATTTATATAAAAAAGAAATCATGAACCACAATAGTGGTTCATTATAGGGATTGCGAGGAATTGCAAAAAACCCTAATAGAACGTTCGAGCAAAATGCTCCTTAAACAGTAAAGATTCAGTTCAAACAACCCTTTAAAACCTTTACTATTGACTGCTAAGGCTGTACACATATAAAAATGCATAAAAAAGCACGCATGTTAGACTTGCAAGGGAAGGAAAATCTGCTTCAAACGGTCCCTTTGTAGTTCTTCTTATTATTCTCTTGCCAGCCTACAATAAAAATGACTTGGTATATTGTACCCAAATTTTTTATAGAATACTAAATAAGGTAATGCCATAGGGGTATTGAAAAGTCAATTTGTTTCTTCTACAGTGCCTTTGCAAAAGTATTCACCCTTCTGCAAAGTTTCCACATTTTGTTTCTGTCTGAGCTTGCAATCATGAAACTTTCAAATGGGATTTTATATTTAGGATCTACATAATCTTCTCCAAGCTGAGAAAGCTAAAGAAATGTAGATGTTATGTAAGTAAGTTAGATTTTCAAAGAAAATTAGAATATTCTCAATTGCATAAGTATTTAACCCCTTTGCTGCAGCAACTCTAAATCAGTTCATGTGCAAAATACTAGTTTGAAAGGTCACAAAATTAGTGTAATAGTCTTTGTCTGTGTGTAATCAAAGTGGTTTAACTTCACTTCAGAGTAAATGCATCAAGCCACAACTCGCATAATAATACAACAACCATGAAGACTAAGGAGCTTTCCAAACAAGTCAGAGATAAAGTGGTAGAGGAGCACAGATCAGGAGAAGATTAAAAAAAAACTTAAAGTCGCTGATTATACCTTTGAGTACAGTGAAGTACATCATTAAGAAGTGGAATGTGCTTCATACCACCAGTCACTACCTAGATAAAGTTATCCTTCAAAATAAACAGCCAGGCAAGCAGGAAACTGGTTAAGGATGCTACAGTGATTTTGCAAGGTTCAATGTCTGAGATGGGAGTCAGTGTTCATACAGTATTCTAGTCCTTACACAAAGCTGGCCTGTATGGGCAAGTGGCAAGAAAGAGGCCATTACTGAAAAAGAATCATCACAAATCTCGTATGGAGTTTGCAACAAAGCATGTAAATGACACTGCAGACATGTGGCAGAAGATTTTGTGGTCATATGAGACAAAATTGGGCTTTTTGGTCTAAATTCAAAGTGTTACATCTGGTGCAAGCTCAACACATCACCTAGTGAACACCATCCCAAATGTCAAGCATGGTGGTGGCAGCATCATGTTATGAGGATGATTTTCATCAGCAGGGACTGGGAAGCTTGTCAGGATGGAGGGGAAGTTGGATGGTGCAAAGTACAGGTGAATCCTAGAGGAAAACATGCTTGAATCAGCCAAGAATCTAAACTGGGTTAAAAATTCACATTTCAGTAGGACAATGACCCAAAGGCCAAACTCACACTGGAGTGTTTTCAAAAGAAGAAAGTAAATGTCCTGTAATGGCCCTGTCAAAGTCTCAACTTGAATCCAATGGAAAGTTTATGGTGAGACTTGAAGATTGCAGTCCATCAGCAATCCCTAATGAGCTTGTCAGAATTGGAGCATTTTTGCCAGGAAGAATGAGCAAATATTACACCATCCCATTCTGCAAAGCTGGTAAAGACCTATCCAAAAAGACTCATAGTAGTAATTACTGCCAAAGGTGCTTTCACCAAGTACTGACTTAGGGGGATTGAATACTTATCAGCAAATTTCAATTTATATATTTTCTTTGCAGG